ACTCGGTTCAACTAAAGTTGGAGAAACTGTCACCCGCAAGCCACCTATGTGCAAATCACGTCGGGAGAACCGGTCTCGCGTAAGCGTACGCGTAATGTCGGTCCGGGCCGCTTCGTCCAACAATACCGCCGAACCAAAGTATGACATGCTGGTAAGCAGTATGACTTATATTGCCCACAACTCACTTGTGTTCTACTCGTGCATATAACATCAACATATAAAACCTAGGCTCGGATGCCACTGTTGGGGAACGTAGTAATTTCAAAAAAATTCCTATGCACACGCAAGATCATGGTGATGCATAGCAATGAGAGGGGAGAGTGTGATCTACGTACCCTTGTAGATCGACAACAGAAGCATTTGGTTGATGTAGTCGTACGTTTTCACGGCCCGACCGATCAAGCACCGAAACTACGGCACCTCCGAGTTCTAGCACACGTTCAGCTCGATGACGATCCCCGGACTCCGATCCAGCAAAGTGTCGGGGAAGAGTTCCGTCAGCACGACGGCGTGGTGACGATCTTGATGCACTACCGTCGCAGGGCTTCGCCTAAGCAACACTACAATATTATCGAGGACTATGGTGGAAGGGGGCACCGCACACGGCTAAGAGTATGATCACGTGGATCAACTTGTGTCTCTAGGGGTGCCCCTTGCCTCCGTATATAAAGGATCCAAGGGGGTGCGGGGGTGCGGCCGGCCCTAGTAGGAGGCGCGCAGGAGGAGTCCTACTCCTACCGGGAGTAGGACTCCCCTCCCTTTCCTTGTCCAAGTAGGAGAGGGGGAAGGAGAGAAGGAAAAGGGGGGGCGCCGCCCCTCCCTCCTTGTCCAATTCGGACTAGGGGGAGAGGGCGCGCGCGGCCTGCCCTGGCAGCCCCTCCTCTTCTCCACTTTAGGCCCATGAGGCCTATTAACCCCCCGGGGGGTTCCGGTAACCCCTCGGTGCTCCGCTTTTATCCGAAACTTCCCCGGAACACTTCCGGTGTCCGAATATAGTCGTCCAATATATCAATCTTTATGTCTCGACCATTTCGAGACTCCTCGTCGTGTCCGTGATCACATCCGGGACTCCGAACAACCTTCGGTACATCAAAATGCATAAACTCATAATATAACTGTCATCGTAACCTTAAGCATGCGGACCCTACGGGTTCGAGAACAATGTAGACATGACCGAGACACATCTCCGGTCAATAACCAATAGCGGAACCTGGATGCTCATATTGGCTCCTACATATTCTACGAAGATCTTTATCGGTCAGACCGCATAACAACATACGTTGTTCCCTTTGTCATCGGTATGTTACTTGCCCGAGATTCGATCGTCGGTATTCCAATACCTAGTTCAATCTCATTACCGGCAAGTCTCTTTACTCGTTCTGTAATACACCATCTCGCAACTAACTCATTAGTTGCATTGCTTGCAAGGCTTATGTGATGTGTATTACCGAGAGGGCCCAGAGATACCTCTCCGACAATCGGAGTGACAAATCCTAATCTCGAAATACGCCAACCCAACATGTACCTTTGGAGACACCTGTAGAGCACCTTTATAATCACCCATTTACGTTGTGACGTTTGGTAGCACACAAAGTGTTCCTCCGGCAAACGGGAGTTGCATAATCTCATAGTCATAGGAACATGTATAAGTCATGAAGTAAGCAATAGCAACATACTAAACGATCTGGTGCTAAGCTAATGGAATGGGTCATGTCAATCAGATCATTCACCTAATGATGTGATCCCGTTAATCAAATAACAACTCTTTGTTCATGGTTAGGAAACATAACCATCTTTGATTAACGAGCTAGTCAAGTAGAGGCATACTAGTGACACTCTGTTTGTCTATGTATTCACACATGTATTATGTTTCCGGTTAATACAATTCTAGCATGAATAATAAACATTTATCATGATATAAGGAAATAAATAATAACTTTATTATTGCCTCTAGGGCATATTTCCTTTAAAAATAACTTAACACCAGAAACGGACAAGAGTTGGAGTACAAATTGGGAAAGTTACATCCGGGGTGTTACAACACTCCACCACTACGAAAGGATTTCGTCCCGAGATCTAGGACTGAAAGAACGCCGGGTACTCAGGATGGAGGTGATCCTCGCGTTCCCAGGTAGCTTCACGGTCGGAATGGTGTGACCACTTGACTTTGAGAAATTTGATTGACTTGTTGCGAGTCTTGCGTTCAGTCTCTTCAAGAATAGCAACTGGGTGCTCACGATAAGAGAGATCTTCTTGCAGTTCAATTTTCTCGAAGTTGACGGTTCGGTCATGAACATTTGCAAAGTTTGAAGGAAGCTCGAGTTGATAGGCGAGGTCGCCTCTCTTGCTGACAATCTTGAAAGGTCCCACGTATTTGGGGGCAAGCTTCCCTTTGATACCGAAGCGACGAGTACCTTTCATAGGAGAGACGCGGAGATAAACATGATCTCCGATCTCGAAAGCCAAATCACAGTGCTTACTGTCATAGTAGCTCTTCTGGCGGGATTGGGCTGCTTTGAGATTATCTCGAATGACTTTGCACATCTCCTCTGCCTCTGCGGTTAAGTCATTTCCCAAAAGCCGACGTTCACCGGTTTTAGACCAGTTGAGAGGGGTACGACACTTCCTGCCATACAGAATTTCAAATGGGGCCTTGCCTGAACTTGCTTGAAAACTGTTGTTGTAGGAGAATTCAGCATAAGGAAGACAATCCTCCCACTTCATGCCGAAGGAGATCACACAAGCCCTGAGCATATCTTCAAGAATTTGGTTGACACGCTCGACTTGACCGCTAGTTTGGGGATGAAAAGCTATGCTGAAGCGGATGTTGGTGCCCATGGCCTTCTGAAAAGAATCCCAAAACTTGGATGTAAAGATGCTGCCACGGTCTAAAGAGATCACTTGTGGAATACTGTGCAGAGAGACAATCTGAGAGGTATAGAGTTCCGCCAATTGAGCTGCAGTGATCGACTCTTTGATAGGCAGAAAATGAGCCACTTTGGTGAGTTTGTCGATGACAACGAATATAGCATCATTGCCACGCTTGGACTTTGGAAACCCAGTCACGAAGTCCATTTCAATGTGGTCAAACTTCCATTCTGGAATGGCAAGAGGTTGGAGGAGACCAGCTGGCCTTTGGTGTTCTGCCTTCACTCTTCTGCAGACATCACATTCATTCACGAATTGAGCAATCTCGCGCTTCATTCGAGTCCACCAATAAGCCTGCTTGAGGTCTTGATATATCTTCGTGCTCCCAGGGTGGATGGAGAGGAGAGAATTGTGAGCCTCGTTCATGATCACTTTACGAAGGTCACCTTTGGGTACAACAATACGATCCTCGAAGAAGAGAGTGTCCTTGTCATCAAGGCAGTGTCCGAGGAACCAAAATGAAACTGATCAGATGAAGTCGGTTCCTTATGCTTCAGCTGTCGGAAGCATCATGTATGCTCAAGTATGTACACGCCCTAACTTAGCTTTTGTAACTGGGATGCTTGGCAGATTTCAATCTAATCCAGGACCGGACCACTGGAAGGCCGCAAAGAAAGTCTTGTATTATATGCAAGGTACTAAAAATTTCATACTTACATATAGAAAGTCCGATAACTTGGAAGTTATTGGTTATTCAGACTCTGATCTTGCCGGGTGTGTGTGGATAGTATGAAATCCACATCATGTTATATATTCACACTCGCTGGAGGAGCCATATCGTGGAAAAACTCCAAGCAAAAGATAGTTGCCTCATCTACGATGATGGCAGAATATCTGGCATGTTTTGAGGCCACCGGGCAGGCTGTATTCCTAAAGAATTTCCTTCTCGAACTTAAAGTGGTTGACAGCATTTCCAAACCACTGACATTGTATTGCGATAATGAACCCGCAGTTTTCTATGCAAATAACAACAAGTCAAGTGCTGCTGCCAGACACATTGACCTAAAGTACCGTGTTGTTCAACATAGAATCCAGGATCAAACTAATGTTAAGCATATCAGTACGACACGTATGCTTGCGGATCTGCTTACTAAAGGCTTACCACCCAATATATTTTGTGAGCATGTAGCCGGCATGGGATTATTGGAAGCCTCTTGATTCTGGAATTATGGGACCGCTATTCTTTTCGAAATAGGATGTGTGCTATGAATATTGAGGTTCAATGATTTTTCATCGGCTACTGTAACACCTTACTCTGGTATATTATTCTTATGGAGAACGGAAAAAAGTCATTGAGCCTAACGATCAAGGGGGAGAATGTTGGTATTGATCTAGAGGGCCAATGGGCCAAAACGAAAATAAAAGACCAGAAACAAGTTACGTTAAATAGAGAAACAGGGAGGTCACGAACCAACGTTCGTACCCCTCGATCTCAACTTATGCGCCCTGATCGGGGCACCCTAACCAACTATGGATTTGGTCCCTGCCGCCAGTGCACATAAAAGATGGGGGAGCAGCCGTCACCTACGTCAGACCAGTTCTCGTACGTTTTACTCCTGCTCCCCACATCCCAAAACCCTAACCGATCTGGGGGAGCGCTGCACGACGAGAAGATCATCTCCAAGCTCTGCCCTTGTCCCAGGGCAGTGCCGGTGGCGGCCGGAGGGACGCCGCTACTTGCAGCGAGCATCTTCACCGAGCCTGCATCAAGCCTGCATCGAGCAGGCACGGGACCTCGCATCGTCGACACCAATGGTTGCTTCCATTGATGGTAAGAACCTAATCCATCTCTCTGGTCTGTGCTATTAGGTGATCTAACGCCTGACTTACAATCTGTTAAGTAGATCCTACGGGATTAAAAGTCTAACAACCTACGTATTCTTTTTTTAGTGCTACAAAACTAAGGTTTCATGTAGTTCTCATGGACTAGAATGATACATACATGACAAAAAAACATGAGGATTATAGTTGAATGAGACCAAAACTTCAAAAAAAAAAACACTGTTTTCATTTGCTTCTAGTGTATATACCCCTGGACCAAATCATCTAGCCGCGAGCTTCATTTTACTTAGATGGGTCTCTTTGCCCCTGATCGTTCCCAGCCGCACCGTTGGCGACGGCCACACAGGCACGACCTCCCCGACAGAGTCGCCCTGCTGATGCCGCACCGCACTCACCTCCCGCCGCTCCGCGCGTTCCAGTTCCCGCTCGCCACCCACCTCCGTCACACTTGCTCTCCTTCCCCGCCACCACCTTGCCTCTCGCCAGCTCCCGTACCCCGATGGCCGACGCCGCTTCGCGCCCGCGCGTTCGGTAACCCGCACACCACACCACACCTCACCCGGTGGGTCACATGCCCCGCCTCAGTTCGAGCTAAAAGTTTTCCTCGTTCTCGCAGGCGAATCCATTCGCGGAGGCGCCGAGCCCCCTGGCTCCACCCTCGACGCGCTCCTCTCTGGCGCGGAGTTGCTCTGCCTCGCGCCGCCCGCCATCTGCTCTGCGGTTTGCGCTGTCCGCCTTATCGTCACGCGGGGCGGCTCAGTCAAGCCATTCGCTGCTCTAGCGAGTGGGAGGATGTTCGTCTTGCAGTACGTTCTCTTGGTGGGGGCGGTGGCGGTCGGGGTGCTGGTCCGGCGGAAGCAATGGGAGCGACTTTGCCGGGTGGGCGCGGGCGGCAGCGCATCGGCCACAGGTGGTGTGGATTTGGTGGGGAGGGTCGAGAAGGTGGAGGAGAGCGTGCGGGGTGTGTTGGCGGCCGTTGTAGTGCTGTCGAGAACAGTGGAGAAGCTCGGCGTCAGGTTTAGGGTGCTGCGGAGGACGGTGACGGATCCTATCAGTGAGGTACGGAAATTATCCATGAAAATTTTGCTTCGATTTTAGTATGAGTGTAAATATAATGCTGCCAAATATGATCATTACAGATTAGTTAGTGAACATTACCAAACTCGGTCGTGATAGCATTTCCCTGTGAATTGTTCAGTCTATATATGCAAATTGTGCATTAAAATCTTTGTATGACTATTCATAGTTAGTATAGTCAGTTAATGTGCCTGGTGCTTTCTTTTTATCAAGATTGTACACTCGTACACTGCATCCTGGAAATTTGAGCAATTATCATCACTGGACACTAAGTCCTCTTGACTGGTTCTTCCAATAATTGCATCTAGCAACAGTTGAGCATACCATTGGCGATTTGTTACTTCTTCAGCTTGTTAATTGTCAAAATGTACTGTTCAGAATTTTGTTACCACATAATACTGCTCTTACTGAGATAGTGTTGTACTGCCTACAGTCACATATACTCCCTCCGTCCCAAAATCCTTGTCTTAGATTTGTCTAGATACAGATGTATAGCACCTTTCTGAACATGTAGATACATACTCCCTTTAAGCATGGCTACTACCTTTAATGCATTAGTAATACCTAGTCCACTAAATGCGACCAGAGATCAGTTCAAGGAATCCCACCTCCCTCCAGGCCTAGTAAGATTTTGGAGGGCGGATAATTTTCAATTTATCTTGATTTTTCGCGACATGTGCTTGATTTTTGTCTGCATATATTTGGCTTCATTACTTAATGTTTTATGTTCTTGCAGACAGCAACATTAGCTGAAAAGAATTCAGAAGCCACTCGAATACTAGCAGCGCAAGGAAATCTTCTCGAGAAAGAAATTGGTTCGATACAAAAGGTTCTGTACGCGATGCAGGTGACATCTCTTATCAACTTTTTACAGACAAGTATGCAAACTTGCTTTTTAGACCATTCCATACTCATTTCAACATAGTTTATTATTACTATCAC